TTGTCTTTAAACGTACGTACTCATGGGTGTCAGTAGCGAAGCCATGAAGTCTAATAAATGAGCCACTGTCGCTCCGGCGGTTGCCTTGGTATTCAACACAATTTCATTTGCTCCTTTGAAAACCCTGAAAACAAGCTAATTTCATTTGATACCATTTAGGAATTCCTAATTCAAGCGCTGCTTGTTTTCTGGTTGCTATGAGCGTTATTAGGTTTAAATCTAATGAAATTCACCAAGAGCTGCCCGCTTTCTCAGCAGTCAGCCTTCCCTGCAAGCTCCAGTTCTCGACAGCTCTCCTTCATCAGTAAGGTTTTGCTCCTTACATTCTCCTTAAATAACGGCAGATCGCCTTGTTTGAGGGATTGCCTGAATCTCACAGGAAGTGAAGCTCGGGATTTCCAGACTTCCAGCAGCTTCCACTGGGAGTTTTCTGTCGGCTTTGTTTTTCGTGTCTCCTCCGCTTCATAGAACTCGATGTTTAATCCGCAGCAACGTTAACGCTTCCATGGTTTTCGTTGGGATTTTAAAAGCATCCACTGAAGCGTTTAATCCCCCCTCGATGTGATTCGCTTTCTCTGAATTCCTACCCTACCGTAGTCCCTTCAACACCGTCATCTTCTTCCTTCCCTTGACGGAAGGAGTGGCCCTGTTGGGACCTCTCGTTCGCATCGGATCGCATCGTTGAAGAGGCGAAATTCGATATCGCCAGGGCGATCAACCAAAAAATTGTCTGACCGGTGCTCTGACCGTGACCCAGCAGCCTGCAACGGCGAATTTCGCCTCGCTATTCCTCTCACTAACCGTCAATTAACTCTCGTTGCTCGAGATATGATGTAATGGGAAAATGGACGTTCCAGTGAGGCCTCATGGCTAAATGGCGTCATCTGGAGTCATTCATTTGATGGGCTTTGAGACATTCCATTGTTTGTTTGCTTGCCACGGGTAACTTGAAGTTTCATAAGTACCCCAGTCCGAAACTTTACCTGGACAACCAAGGGTACACATCAGGTGGTCTAGAGAGACATTTGAAACCTTACTTCTCTCTAACGGATATCGCTCTACAAGTGGTGGCCAAAGCTAATTTCAGGTAGTTCGTGTGAAAGCAAAACTCTCAAACTGAGGTTGTTCGGGAAAAGTTTACTCACCCACATCGCCGTCCCTCCATGGAGAGTTATGGGCCAGGAGGTTTGGGTAGTGGAATCAGAGTCTCTGCCCTTCTGGTCTTTCCCCGTAGTTGAAGTGGAAGTAACCAGTAGGGCCATATCTGCTCATCGGTGACTTGGTCTGCCCAATTGGAAGGAGCTGCCTCAGCTGTAACTACTAACAAAAGCAATTCTTCTGAATAACCAAAAATTATTTCAATACACTGCAGGAATGACAACTTCCTCGCAAAACTTGGAAATTGGAAAAAAAGTAGGCTCTCCAAGCCATTC